CATAAAAACCTTGCAGATGCTCAGGAGGCTTTTCATCTCTGGACCAAATTTCTCTTTCTTTCATGTAATTCAACTTCATTTAAGGAAATTAGAGTATACAGTACTGGGTAAAACAAGAAGCACACAAATGTCACTTCTGAGAGCTCATAGTTCAGGAAGGTGTGCGTCCTCAGGTGTACTGCCCTGCTTCCTTCTGAGGGTGCACGCACAGCACTTTTTCTTCCGGCCAGAGCTCTGGGTGTTTGCTGTCACCCAGGGGCACATCTTAGCCTCTTCTGGCCTCAGCTTAACATCTTGATGAGATATTTATTAGCAACTTGTGTTTGCATGTGAAAGTGTAGCTAAGTTTGCCCAAGGACACACAGCCATTAGCTGGGGAGGCAAGAGTTAAGCTCTGGTAACATCTGATTCCAAATCCTAATCATGGCTGCTCACCAACCATCCTGAAATCAAAACATAGTTCTATTCACGTCCAAACTAAGTTGGCAGAAAAAACTAACCAGAATTTAGAGCATATTTCTAATAATTGTTTAAGTTCTTTATTCTAGTGTGTATGCAATTAGATAAATAAATATTAATGTGTTTTGAATACAGAACACTGCCTCAGCACCTGTTGGTGATGTCATATAAAAATGGTGAACACACCATATTACCTCTCTAAAATAGATGAGAAATAAACTCTGAAAAAAAGAAAAAGAAATAAACTCTGAAAAGTGTATGGGCTCAAGGGTTTTGCTTAGCAGACTGTGGATGTGTATTATAACTTATGACAGTTCAACTTACAGTTTTTTGACTTTACAATGGTGCAGAAGTAACATGCATTCAGTAGGAACCATACTTTGAATTTTGGTGTCCTGGGCTAGTGACATGTGGGGCGATACTCTCTACTGCTGCTGGACAGCATCAGAGAGCAGCAGCCCTCCCCCTGCCCCCCCAATCAGCTATACAAAAACACGGGTCAACATCTGATACTCTACAGTGTACTGTGTTGCCAGCCTTTTTTTGTATACTGTGGATTGTGTTTTCCCATCCCATAATGTCTACAAATGCCCATCTGGCTCTCCTGTTTCCGGCAAGAAGAAGAGGAAGGCAAATACTATTGAGTTGAAACTCAAGATAATCTCCCAACTGTGGGCTAATATAAACGTTCTGAGCATGCTTAATGTGGGCAAGGCTAAGTTGTTATGTTCAGTAGATTAGGTGTGTTAATGCATTTCTGACTTAATGATAGGTTTATTGGAGCAGAAACCATCTTAAGTCGAGGAGCATCTGTATACACTCATTCTAACAATGTTGCACTATGACAGCACCAGTCCTTCAGATGGCTGAAAGCAAAGAAAAACTCTGTCCCTCCCAAAGCAGAGGCCAAAGCAAAGGCTTTGAAGCAAAGAAAGAATTGCTAAGAGACGTCCACAGCCACACACAAAAAGATCCCCACATCACCCACCTTCCGACGGCCCAAGACACTGCTGAAAGCAGCCCAAATATGCTCAGAAGAGTGGCCCCAGGAGGAACAAACTTGACCACTATGCCATCATCAAGTTCCCCGTGACTACCGAGTCAGCCATGAAGAAGTCAGAAGACAACAATGCTCTGTGTTCATGGCAGGTGTCAAGGCCAACAAGCACCAGATCAAACAGGTTGTGAAGAAGCTCTATGGTATTAACATGTCCAAGGTCATCTCCCTGATCAGGCCTGATGGAGAGAAGAAGGCATATGTTGAACTGGCTCCCGACTATGATGCTTTGGATGTTGCCAAAAAAATTGGGATCATCTAAACTGAGTCCAGATGGCTAATTCTAAATATAAAAACATTTTCATAATCATTTATTTAAACATTTCTTAAGTGACTTGAGATCTTTGAATCAAAGTTTTAACCCATAAATTATATGTCATTCAATGGATACTTTTAGCTTTTATTTTTTTTTTTAGCTCTGATTCCTCCCCCCCCCCCCCCCCATTTTATAGATGAAGCTTTAAAAATACTCCACACATTTAAAGGGAAAAAAAATAGCAGTGTAGATGCTGAATAGATTCCAGTGCATTTTCTTCCTTTATATCTTCTTTCAGAGGGAAATTAACTTCTCTGCCAGGGTATAGAGACTGCTTCTTCAGTCATCAGTTTGTGATTGGGGAACTCAGAGGGGTGTAGTAGATCTGGCTACCAGCATGGAGAGGTATGTTTCTGAAATGTTCTTAGAACTAATAAACCTATTCACACCTGAACTAGACTTTTAAAAAGATGAATTTACAGAAACCAAGAGAATGAGATTAACAAAGGAGCTGGAAAGGCTGATTACTATTTCCTGGCAGCACTGGACCATTGAAATGCCCCGGAAGGTTGAGAAAGTGTCTTAGATTGTGGGGCGGTTCTTCCTCCCCAGACTAGGGGAAGGTGCACACCAGCCGAGATGGGACTTGCCCTGGATCAATCCTGTGACTGGCTGTGACACTGTCATTCCCCAAATCATGGCTTATTCTAAGATTTGAAAGCCCCAAAAGAGTAATCAACTGCTTGCCTCTCTTGTCCCCCTGCCATGATGCAATATGCATTTTTGTTTCCTGTGACTTTTGCCCTCACTGCCCTGCCTCAGATTCAAACCCCAGAGCCCTTCCCAGACAGGAAGCTTGTATTGTGCCCTGGGCAAATGTCCCTGCACCAGACACCAGGGTTGTCCCTCACCTCACTTTAACTTGGCTATCATGGAGTTTGCTCTTTACTTCCAACCTGCAGCCTTCCGGCATGGTATGTCACTCTCTAAGTATGTGAAGGAGTTTTACTGATTAGCAGCCTCCTTAATTGTAATTTTTGAACACAAATCCTCCTACTTCTTTAAAATATATATATATGTGTGTGTGTGTGTGTGTATATATATATATATTGATTTCAGAGAGGAAGGGAAAGGGATGTACAGAAACATCAGTGATGAGAATCATTCATCGGCTACCTCCTGCACACCCCACACTGGGGATTGAGCCCACAACCTGGGCAAGTGCCTTGACCAAAATCGAACCATGACTTCCTGGTTTATAAGTCGATGCTCAACCACTGAACCATACTAGCTGGGTTCTTCCTACTTCTTTAATCCTGAAGTACATACACACCTGGAGCTATTCCAGAGTTCTCCTGGCTGACTCTTCCCCCCAGGTTCTCTGACCTTCTCTGACAGGTGGTCCTGGGAGGCCCTAGGGGGTGGCGACTCATCCTAAGCTGCTACAGAGATGAGGCTGAGGACACAGTGCTCTCTTCACTCCCAAACAGAACAGTCTTTGCCATCCCAACCAGATGTATTCCAGACTTCACTTGCCCACATTTCATTCCCTGCTAAAGAATTTGCCCAGGGCAATGTTGCTTTTCACTAAAGCAATGTGCAACGAATTCCCTAAGCCAGGCCCATTCCTTGGTAGCCCCCTGACAGGAGGCCTGCTGGAAAAGGACACCTTGGTCATTGGTGACCCACTGCTTTCTTCTCTTCTGAGTGATCCTCCATGGCCATGTCAGGAGATCTGTCAACTTCAGAGATGGCAAGTAGATGTGAGTTTAAATTCCCAACTTTCTCCCACTTTCCTGTTATTCCTCTGTCATTGTCAGGCCCTTCCCCTTGCGGAGTCCCAAGCTGCTTAGGAGGCGAACTCACATGGATGTGAATCTTGTCTCTGACCCTGTTCATTGTTCTGTGTCTCAGTTTCCATAGGCAATGTGGGGCAATCCCAGGACTTGTTTCACAGGCTTGTGGGAGAATCCCGCTGTCACTGGGATGGACTATCTGATCAAATGGAGATGGTGCATTCACTCTGATAAAAATCAGGTAATAGGCTTTGAAAAACTCTTCCTTCTGTTTATTCCCCATTCAAGGTGACATTGATGGAAAGCGGTCCTGGTGGATGCTCATTATTGCTGGGGGTGCCGAGGGAGTGTTCAGCAAGTGAGAGGTACAGGTCTTAGTTACTCTCAGGATCAGAGGTCATAGCTTCAGACTTATCAACATACGGGTCCTGGCTCGGTTTTCTTAGCCAAAGACAAGCTTACTGTTGTCATATTAGTGATTACATCCACTGAAAAGGTCCATATGACGGCCAAATACACCAAGAGACACAAGCCAAGTGAGATTTTAATATGCTGAAATAATATACTTCTGACTTTGAAAAGTACCCTGCATGGTTAAACCTCGTCCTTTTTACTAAAGAGGGATAATTTGCTTCAGATTAAAGTCAAAACAATAAAGCTGCGGATGGAAAATGACCTTTCTTGTCCTTACACATATCAAGTAGCTGCCTGGAGTAGTGAGCCCAGCAGGAATTCCATTTAACTAACTGACTGAATCCACAGGACTCCAAAAACTCGTTCCTTACTGCTGAGGCACTAAGCCAAACAATTCTGTCACTAGAAGCCCAGGAGTTTTCATGGCGACACCTTGGTGTGATGGCATTTTGTGTACCAGGCTTGGTGATGTTAGCTTTGTAAATTTTTTTAACTCCAAGTTTATATCTCCACTTTTAATATTTCACATGATCCTTGTTTTGATGTGATGTCATCAACATATTGGAATTGGAAATTTGGTTTAAAATCTACTTCCCACACCTCACATAAGGTTGAATATACACAGCAGGTGATGATATGTTTTGACCTGCCATTTGCTTCTTTCTGTAGAGAGGTTTCTTGCAGCCATTCCAGACTTTAGCATTCCTGTGCAATTTAATATATTTTTAGGTAGGTCCATGCATAAGAAGCACCATGCGTAGCAGAGTTTCATTAACTTCTGAAGAATCATTTGGAATTCCTAGGTGTAGCTGAAAGACATAAAACTCTAATAGAGAAATATAAAGATGAAAATACTAGCCTTACTCTAAGTAAGTAATCCTATCTAATAAAAGACAAAAAGGGTAATTAACCGTACCTCCACTATGCTTCCCATCGGCTAATCAGTGAGATATGCAAATTAACTGTCAACAAAGATGGCGGCTGGCAGCCATGCAGCTGAAGTGAGCAGGAGGCTTGCTTGCTCCAGTGATGAAGGAAGCCAAGGTTCCCCGCCTGCCGTGGCCCAGCTCTGAGCCTGAAAGCAACAAAGTTTCAATTATAGAAGGTAAATAAACCCCAGATACCTGCTTTCAGCCAGGCAAGGCCTCAGAGCTGGAGCGAGCAGGATGGCAACGAAGTTTCAATTATAGAAGGTAAACAAACCCCAGAATAAAAAAAAAAAAGAAAAAAAGGAGAGGCTGGGAGCTTCAGTCGCCAGCTTGGCCAGCCTGAAAACAGCCCTCAGCCCCTCATCCAGGCTGGCCAGGCACCCCAGTGAGGACCCCCACCCTGAAGAGGGTGTGACCAGCTGCAAACAGCCATCAGCCCCTCACCCAGGCTGGCCAAGCACCCAAGCGGGACCCCCACCCTGATCTGGGACACCCTTCAGGGCAAACCAGCCGGCCCCCACCTGTGCACCAGGCCTCTATCCTATATAGTAAAAGGGTAATATGATAACTGACCCTAACAGCAGAGAGACTGGGAATGACTGGTCACTATGACACACACTGACCACCTAGGGGCAGACGCTCAATGCAGGAGCTGCCCTCTGGTGGTCAGTGCGCTCCCACAGTGGGAGCTCTGGTCAGCCACAAGCCAGGCCGATGGCTGCCAGTACAGCGGTGGTCGTGGGAGCCTCTCCTGCCTCCTCAGCAGCACTAAGGATGTCTCACTGCAGCTTAGGTCTGCTCCCGGCTGGCAAGTGGACATGCCAGAGGGATGTCTGATTGCCAGCTTAGGCCCAATCCCCCGGGGAGCAGGCCTAAGCCAGCAGGTGGTCATCCTCTGAGGGGTCCCAGACTGTGAGAGGGCATAGGCCGGGCTGAGGGACACCCCCCCCCGCCCCCCCAGTGCACAAATTTTTGTTCACCGGGCCTCTAGTCTTGTATAATTGGCTGCCTCTAAAATAGGAACACATAGCAAGTAACATGCTTGCAGCATTATTTGCTTCTGTGTCCTTGCGCAAAAAAGGTGGATCTTGGCTCTTATACAAGTGTGCAGATAAAATATGCATCAGAAGTCAGAACATTTATCCTAAAGTGGGTGTGTGTGTGGCCAGTCTGGCTCTAGAAAAATAAAAAAATAAAAAAACCTCCTCTGTGTCACTTTTTTTTTCTATTTCTGTGATGATTCCTTCTTGTCAAGAGCTGTGAAGGGTCTGTGATTTTATGCAACTTGCAAGCTAAAATGTTAGCCTGCTGCAGCTTCACAGTTGCTGGCAGAAGATGTGACATTCTTGGGTCAAAGGTAAAGGGTGATTTATTACTCACAGAAATTGTAGTTGCTTGATATCATCATTTTTCTTGTGCGGTTCCTCAAAGATCCAGTTCCCATGAGCAGCATGAACAGGGCCAGGCGATACCAGCACGTGCATTAGGTTGCTGATTAGTCCAGAGAAATAGAACCAATAAAACATATTGTCTCTCAGGGTGTGCAGGAATTCAAGAGGTCCATGAAGAATTGTCTTTTAGCACTTTTTTTCTTCCCCTTTAAATCGATGGTATCAAAACCGGAAGCTAAAATAAGGTATTTGTACCATAATGAGAATGCTTTTCTTATGATTGCTCCTCTTCAGGCTCATTTATATGTTAAAAACAAGTTGCTCATTGTAAAACTGGAGATTCAAAATTTATTGGGTAAGATGGAGATGGCTTTGGGAGCCAGGACACCTGCCTGTATGGTGGACACAGTGGCAGACGTGGGGTAACTGCCCACCAGAATTCATGCTCCGCACTGGACGTTGGGACATTGTTCTCAGCCGAGATCACATTTTCTGTCCCGTCTTGCAGTTAGAGGCATCACACTAAAGAGTTTTAGGAACGAATGTGAGCAGAAGGGATGTGAGGCTCTTACAGAGGCTAATGAAGTCTTCATGAGCACTCTCCCACATTCTTTTTCTTTTTGGCTAGCAAAGAGGGGAATGGCCATACAGAGACTTAGAAGCTAATAGGGAAGAAGGTTGAGACTTTTGTGGATGGTAAACACCTATTAACTCATTCACTGACAATTCTGTTACATTACTTTATTGTGCTTAAGCTATTTCATATATTTTGGAGACTACCTACTATGGCAACTAGCCTACCCTAATTCATACTAGTACATTTCATTGGTTAGTAGTGATTTTGCAGGAATGAGGAGTCATCTCTTGACTTCTCCAAAAAGCCTCTGTTCTTCCTTGGTCATCTATTGTAGAGATTTTAGAGTCCCCTTTTCTTTTCCACAGAAAACTATAAAGTTGATTAAAATGAACAATACAGGGAGATGAAGATAACAGAGATGTTTACTGGCTCAAATACCTTCCATACATTTAAGGATGTAATTTATGCTATATTAGGATTAATAGATTACCTAAATATGGACACTCATAGTAGAGATCCCACAGTTGGCTGAATCTCCATAGATCTCAGGCAACAATATCTTTGTCAACTTGTTAATACTAAAACATTTAACAAAACCCCAAATAATAAAAAGGGTTGGTGGCAGCCCTTTGAATGGTAATCACAAATGTTTGCCTTTCTGGAAACAAATGCCCACTGCAAAATAAATAAATAAATAAATAAGTAAGTAAGTAAGTAAATAAATAAATAAATAAAAAAATTTTGCCCTTGTGGGAATACCAGTGCCCTGCCTGCATACTCTTTAACCGAGAAATAAGTGCATACTCAGCTCACTATGGTTCAGAACTGTATGTACTGATATAAAGCATTTCTATAAAGGGGCAAATAGTAAATATTTCAGCCTTGATGAGCCAGATGGTCTCTGTAGAAACTTGTCAACTGTGCTGTGACACCCAAGCAATCACAGATAGGACATAAATGAACATAAAAGTGGCTGTCTTCTAATAAAACCTTACTTACCCAAAAGGACTTTTGTCCGTACCCTACTTTGCTAACCCCTGACCTAAAAAATTTATATTCTGTCTGCATGAAGATATAATGACTGTTGAGCTCTGGAGATGAACTGGATTGGTTTGTATATCTGACTAGCATGGGATGCACTCAAAAGTTAATAACTACTTACTTTTCAAATTCAAACTTTCTGTCATCAGCAAGGTGAAGTCACAAATAGTAATGTCTTATAGTTGATATGCATTTTAAAAAAATGATCTTCTCAAGACAGACTTTCTCCTGGCCACACAGATATAAGTCAATCTGATACTTATAAGACAGAGATCCAAAGAGAAAAAGGTACCACTGGCCCCATAAGTAGAACTTGCAGCAGGAGCTGAGATTTAAGGCAGTACGTCTTTTTCAATGTTGCTTATAAAAATTCAACTTCCGCATGAAGCAAACTTCAGGAATAAAAACTCAACAGGAGAGATAGGAGTGTATATAAATAGGGTACCTGCAAAAGCCGATTAGAGATTTCACTAGGATCCCACGCAGCAGATAAGAATGATAGAATGCAAATGGGGGAATTCGGTGTCACTGCAGCTAAAGGTATTGTCATAGGGTGTTTGCATCTCCCATTCCCAAGCAGGGAAGTAAGCAGCAGATTACTACCAGCTCTCCTAGGGCGGTGCTGCTGTAACCATAGGTGACACATCTGCGCATTTCTCAGAGTAATGAGAGGGTGATTTTTCAGGGAAAGTGTGCAAGGTTTCTATTTTAGACTGGGTGTGATGGAGAAAATTTAAAAGTAGACAGCCTTGGTCATAAGGCTTTCTGCTAAAATTAGTAATAAATTGGAGATTTGAAGGAAGGAGTAAGCAGATTGTAGACTTAGGCCTACTTCTTTGGAAGTTTTTCCAGAATCCAGTCTTATGTCTTTGAAAGTTTGTGTTTGCCTTTGTTTCTCTATTCAGATAACTAACACTATACCTGAAGCCATTAGAAACTTCTTTCTCTAAAGTGTAAAGATGCCTATTTATTTGATGATTTTCCCTCTGTGACTATTAAAGTGTTATATAGTATGTATGTATATTATATATTCTAACACTCATACATGGCTAAAGAGTATATTAAATGAAAATTACAATATTTCAGTTTCTACTGACTTAGGTAATTTTAAATATACGCTACTTAGCATAACTTTTTAATTGTTCACAGACTATTACGTGTCTGAAATTCTTTCCCTCTGTTTAAGGATAAAGTGAAATTCTTTATACCCTTGTTTGAGGTTGTTTCACTGTTATGATAAGCTGACGAATACTTAAGTGGAAATTAAATGCATATGGTTTCAGATCCACTGAGTCTGGCTCACAAAGAGTTGTGTTAAAAAAGCACTTTTGAACTTTTTATAAGAAGCCTATTGAATATCTTTCATGGATCCTTAGAGGAGTCAGAAATAGAAAGTTCCAGAATCCTAGGAACAGAGAAAACTTGACCCAAAAAGGTAAAGTTACACTGAGGCTTGGAAAACAGGAAATTCTCGATGGTTTTTGGCAAAACATGCAGTGCCCCGCCTCCGCTCAGTGTGTGGTAAAGTTTCTCCCAGTCTGTGCATTCCTCCTAAGTCAGAAATTCCCATTCCATGACTAGGAATAGTAGCAGCAGCAGCAATACAGCCTTCACGAGGATGAACAAAGAACACTGCCCCTGTGGTTCCTCAGCAAAATATCACTCATTTCAAAACAGACCTGGGGATAGGCCATTTCCCAGACACTGGGGAATCACCTTCCTAGTGGGAGGGAGAGAGCCATTGTTCAGGAAAGGAAGTCCTGTGTGAATGAGCATGTTTGTGTCTTCTGTTGGATCAGCCACAGAACTGGGCCGGGCAGGGCTGCGCTTCTTGGAAATCCACGTTCCTGTGTGGTGGTCATTCCTTGGAGATAGTGGGAGCTCAGAGCACCCTGCTCTTCAGCCCAGAGGAAAACACCCAGCGACAACACCAACACCAACAAGAAGGGCAGAAACAATGGGTGTATTTGAAATTCCATTTGCATGAAGAACGCTGGGGAAAGCCTCCAGTGATCCTAGCTGGTGGAAAACAGATTCCTAGGCTCATTGTTCGGCTCCATGGGTAAGTGAGCAAAGACATGTGGGTGTGTGCAGTTTGGAAGAACATAGACTTGAGCGAAACGTGGGAACTGTCGTTTTTCATTGTCCAGGGGATAGATGTGGAGTGATTTGTTAGCTCCTAAAATAAAAAACAAAACAACAACAACAACAAAACAAAAAATAAAAAACAAGCATGTATCCTCTATCCCCCAGTGCATTTCCAAAAAAAAAAAAAAAAAAAAAAGTCCAAAAGTCAGGCCCCAGCCTCTCTTCCTCCACAGGTCACGGTGAATCACAGTTTTTGTGGTTATGCTATTCAAACAGGCAGGCACTTGGGGTTTGTCTTTTGTTTAATTTACTACAAGATCACACAAGATATTTTCAACAGAGCTTCAGAAAGCATCTTGGGAAATCCACAAAAACGGGCTGAGTCATCTCACCCACATCAGCCAGGCTACATCTGACTGAATCTTCCTCTTTTGTCTCTTGGGAGAAAGTTCTCAACCTCAGCCAGATGTGAGAGCAAGGATGCAGATATTGATTTGGGTCAGGCAGGAGAGCCCCAGCAGAACATGGGCCCTGCGAACCCACGAGCTTTTCCATCGTGAGGGGAAAGCGGGAGGGACCCTACCCACCATTGGCTTTCGGAGCTCAAGACTCAAACCACAATGGAGATAATAAGGGAAAAGTGACTGTATTAGGAATCTGTTGCTAAAAATGACAATTTATCTGGAGGGAGCTGCATTCCATCCATCTCCATGTCATCATATCACAAGGTACAGACCGAGCTAGTTTTTTTTGTTTGTTTGTTTGTTTTTAATTCAGGGTAAGCACCTTTCTAAATCCACCAAGCACGTTGTATTTCTTTTTTGGCCTGTGACCTGATCCTTAGATTAGAGGAGGTGTTAATTTGTTTGCTCAAGCACAAGCCCAAAGAGAATTTGGCTTTTTTATTTATAACAGAATTGGATTTCTGGCTTCTATGAGTTCAAACTAGTGTTCAAAATAAAATCAGTCAGGAAAGGCGAAGGAACACAGTGAGTAGATGAGTTGTTTGGTGTTTAGACACTGTCTCTTTTCATAGGAGAGTCACATTTCAAGCTGGGAGGTGTTTCCCCTTTTCAAAAAATGCTTGTGAAATGCATGACTCATCATGCTATTGCAAACAGCCAAAAAAGTTCCAGAGTACAGGGCAGGACAAACCACAGTGAGTCTAATATTTTAGACACTTGCTGAGACAGTTTTTCCCACTCGGGTCCCGAAGGGGTGGGAGAAGAGGGTCCCTGCTTCCATCCCCAAAAGTTGTTCCCGTCTTAAACCGAAACAGGTCCAATAGGGAGAATTCTCTGACACATCCCATGACCGACTTTCACATCCCTCCTGTAATTCTCCCAGTTGGCAGAGCTTTCTCTATTTGAAGAATTTGGCTCAGAGCATGAAGTGGGCGAAGGAGGGAGAGGAATACTAATACTTCAGCTAGTGAGAAAAAAAGACAAATAGGTTTTTTTTCTATAGCGTGAATCCCAAGTAAGAAAGTGCTTTATTTCTAGCTCTGAAAGAAAAAAAAAACACACCAAAAAACCCAAAGGAGATCTTCCCTTCACACATGCAGAGATGCCACCTTGAGAAATGGATGTTGGCATAAATAGATGGTGGGCCCTGTGCTGTCAGGGACCTGTGCTTTCCTATTTGCCATTATGCCAACACAGACATGACAGCATCCCTCCTCGGGGTGGCCGATTTTAGCTTGAAGAACAATAAATGTGACTGAAATGCCCCCAGCCAAGCACCGCATGCATTTAACCATACCTTCCTTATGGGGAGCTGGATGCCCAAGGCCACTTAGTCCTGTGCTGCATGTGCACTGGGGACAGGTGCTGTGACGGCATGGTGGCCTCGAAAAGCCATGCTAGGCATCCCCGTCACCAGGATTGACGTCCCAACCAAGGATTTGCTCTGGGGGAGCTCAGACCTATTGGAGAGTGAAGGCCAGCGAGGGGCTCCTGTGCCACAGCCCCAGGACCTGAACCCAGACACCAGGATCTATACATATTATTTCCTGGTACAAGGTAGACATTGAGTTTCAAAAGGGACTCATTACTTTTAATTTTTTTTTTTGCTTACCAACAAAAAGGTTAAAAAAACTGTGTGTATATACTCAAAACTACAGAATAGTAAATACACGCATTTTGGTAAACTTGTCTCTCAGAACCAGTGACAAAACAGCCTGATCCTGGCTCAGGACGCCTCACTACTAAATGCCACCACTGACCACAACAGGGTCCAGGTTTCTTCCAAGCACGTCATCTGTTCTCACTATTTTTTGCATTATACCCCTTGTGCCATGATGCAATTTCTCCTATTCAAATGGATTCTCCACCAAGTCTCTAATTTTGATCAAAACTTTTTTTCATTATGCTCTTAGTCATTTTTTTAAAAAATCCAAAAAGGTTTTACTCACAGGCATCTTGCAGTGTCTCAAAAACTGCAAGGAAGCTGGAGGCTGGCTGTATTCACACGGACAAACCCTTCAAAATGTGTCCAAGCTGCCACTTCCCTTCCAAGACACACGCCAACACACACACCGATACCCTTTTCAAAACAAATGGTTTGCTGTTCTTAGTTTCCATTAGTTATTGAACAATATTTTTTCTTATCCTATCGTAGGCCCATGACTTCCAGGAGAGTGTTTTTCAGTCTCTGTAAATGGCTTAAGGAAGTAAGTTGTCGTTTTTATTTGGTGTACTTCTTCTCTTCAGCCTGAAAGTTAAATCCTGAGCTAAACGCAGCAGGGCACCTCCGGAGAAAACATTAAGTTATTAGGAGATGAAGCTGGCGTTTTGGTTTTCAAGGCATTCAATAAACTCTGCTAAAATATACAGACTAACCCACAGCCAGAACTAAAAATCCTCAACAGCAAATTTTTGCTGGGGACATGGGGGGAAGAGGGGCGGGAGTGTGTGTGGGGGGCGGGACAGTCTGAATAAGGAAATCCTATGCACATTGGCTTGGCTGTAGGGAAGGTTCTGGAAGCGGGAGCAGGCACATTGTGTTGAAATAGTGTTGGCGGCAAACAGAGACGCTCAGTTTGTGGTGAATTTACACTGTTACCAGGGATGGAAACAATGAGAGTTTTATGAGGCTTGTTTACATATCCAGAAAATACGTGTAGCTTTCAGAAGCAGTGTGCTGTGGCAAATGTCTGACATTCGGTTGCTATCCCCAAAATAGCTCCCCTCCCACTGGCGCGGGAGTTCTGAACGTCCTCCTCTGTCTCAAGGTACCAAGAGCCATAAATCCATTTTTAATTAGCATTGAGTGAAATGCTGAAGATGATAGGATCTTTGTGCTAAAAATGAAACCCAAATGGGTCTGGCTGATTTATGTCTAATTCAGAGTTGTGAGTTAATTAAAACGACATACTGAATTAAAAAAAAACAACAACAACAAAAAACTGGCAGATTCCTTCCCACGTGAAATTTAAATTCAGAGTCTTATGGCTTAGGTATCTCCACATTCCATTTCATTGTCA